ATATATATATATAGGCTTGGAAATGTAAAATCTAGGAAAACAATAGAAGGCACGCTGAATCAGCATTCACACCATGATGCATAAAACCTGCTGATCTCCCTCCTTCATTTGTAAAGTGTGGGTGTGTGCATATGCAGGTGTGTGTATGAGTGTGTGTTTGTGTGTGTGTGTGTGTGTGTGTGGCCTCGAGGTCAGCCATCAGTTCTCGTCATGTTTGTGTTGTTGAAGTCAAATATGACCGTACAAGGAGGAGAAGGAGGAGGAGCTGGGAAGTAAATCCTTGAAAGCCGATTAGATTAAAGCGGTTGTCTTTGAGGGCTTATAGCTATTGAATTGTAAATCAGAATTAATCTCATCAAAATACTCAGCAAAGAGAATAAACAAGCTAATTTGGCCCAAACTATTTCTGTGGGTAAAAAAAATTAAATATATTGATAGAGTTGGTAATTTATGAGAGAAGATAATGTTTTTTGAATTGTGTTTTGCTTCCACAGAGAGAGACACACTAAAGTCATTAATCTTACTGCACTTTAAGGTCTGTATTGGCTTCAATTCTGACAGCACCATCCAWCATTTCTGCATTCTGTAGAGGCACATATTCAAGCCCACCCCCCAAAACACATTGTGGGGGTCAGATTTTCATTAAAAACTATGGGTTTTGTTTGTGCATTAGTCGCACCATCTTAATAACTTTATTTCCACTGCTGATTACAAGTCACGCTGTTTAAAACACTCCCAAAGYCAAGCTCGTAATTTAAAAATTGTAATTTAGAGTACAACATTCATTTTATTTTCATCCTTTAGAACAAAAATCACTTGAGCTGCCAACTTTGAATCCCGAAAATAGCTGTGAATGCATTTGGGACACGCGGCGCCAGAGTTTCAGCATGTATATAAAAGGTCAGTTGTCAATGGCCACCTCGTCACGCCTTTTGTTTCTGCCCCTCCCTGTTTTTGCAGGCGGCGTGGAGCTGGGCATCAACGCCAGTGGACAGAGACTCAGACACTGGTTCGATTGTCTCAAAAACAAAGGGAAGAAAGTGGAATACTGGCACACGCTCACACAGCAAGGAGCCCCGAGCAGCGACAAGCCGGACTAGATTCACACAAGYCGTTCCCAAGATGACGCCCATGAGCACATTCATCTCACCGAATGATGGTTCAGAGGAGTCCAACAACAACAGCGATCTAAACAAAGAACAAAAAAAAAACATGCAATAATAATGTTTAAAAAAGTTACATTTGTCATAAATCGTTACTAAACGCAGCACAAAGCATTAGTTCATGTTGATACTAATCTTGGTGATTGTGATGAGATGTAATCTGAGTACGTTTTCCCCCCACAAGATTAGCCAAATCGTGACGATGTCCTCATCGAAGTGTTGTCATGACAAAAACTCAAAATTGTGCTCGCCGTGTCGTGGAAGTCGCTCTCATCCGTTCAGATTTTAAGACCAGATTTTAAAGGTTTCACAGCTCATTCAAGCCCGCTCCCTYGACACCGGTGTGACTTTGTGTTACAGGAGTGGGTTCTGTTGAAAAGTCTCTATTTCAAGTGGCTGCCAATCTGATGCAAAACAACACCATACTTTACTGTAAAGCACAAGATGAGATCCATTAGGTGGATTGGTACCTTTACCTTTTTTTCAGTGTTCCGTCTTTTCGTTTATTGTCGGTGGCAGTGGTCCTCCACCACCTCCATGTGTCGGCGTTTGCGTGTACGTGTGTGTAAATTATGACAATATGAGTGCCTACATTTCTATGTGCAATACTTGTCTGTCTGTGTTCTCCTCATGCCGCGTTCAAAATGTTTCTGTTCCAACGTCAGGCGCATAGGGGTGTGAGGGAATACCGACAGACAAGAAAGGATTCGTTCAATACGGAAATGTTTTCGTGACCAAAACAAACCTCYGTGTAGTGAGGCATTCTGTTTCCAAAGGCAATCTTAAGAAAGAAAGTCTACTTTTTAAACTTGGTTGAGGAATAGCTGGTTTATGCGAACAGCAGGCAAACAAATTGCTTTTGGATGTATTGTTTGTACTTTTAAAAGTGACGTTTTAGGCTGCTCTCTTTGAAAAGCCTCAGTTTGGAGAGATAGATTTGAATTCTGACTTGACTGAAAAGCTAACAGCTCCGCCTCTGCATTAGCTCATCAATCTGTCAAAATTACACTTTGATTTCTCTCCAACAAGTAAAAAAAACTGTTCATAACTTTTCCACAGAACTCTGTTTAAAGTAATCTGAAATATCCCTTTAATTGTCCAAATTCTAGGCTGTAAAGAAAACACATTTCATCTGTGACTGGTTCCAGTTTTARAGAAACGCTGTAATAATATATATAGATATTTTTATTGTTTAAATTTGGATGTTTATGCTGACAAACCTATATGTGCTTGACTAACTAACCCAACAGTGCATGTTGTTATAGGTGAAAAAGGTTTGGCTGAATCTTGCATCAACCATCAGAGGGAGTCATTGCTTCAATGTTTGCTTCAGTTCAGTTCTTTAAACCAAAAGGGTCCAATCCTGGTCCTCGAGGGCCTCCTGCATGTTTTAGAGTTGTTGTGTTTTCTGCTCAAACACACATGGTTTGAATGAACGGGTGGTTCACAGGCTTCTGCAAAATATGAAGAAGCAATCCAGTCYCTGAAATCAGGTGTGCTGGAGCAGGGAAACAAAACATGCAGGATGTCGGTCCTCGGGGACCAGGATTAAACACCCCCGTTTTAAACCTTAGCTACAGGAGCATAACTTCTCCTCTGAACAGGAGACGGTGATCATCGGCTTGTCTGTCAAACCTATCATTTCCTTCTGAGATCATCTGTGCAGCTATTAGCAGTGCAGACACACAGGTTGGAGTTCAGTCTRACAGTTTAACCCCAAATTACAACTAATTCAAAGAAAGTGACTGAATCTCTTTTTTTAAAACTGAGATTAAAACAGCATCATTAAAATGCACATTCATTTAAATATTTGTATGCATCTTTTTACATATTTAGGCATAATGATGTAAAAAAGGTTGTTTGTCCTCACACTATCTGAAAGCCTATAGGGTGTTTAAAACACTTCTATGTGTGGGGGTTTCTTTTTCTTTTCTTTTTTTTAACTTTGGTCAAACAAAAAACACAGTCAGAGACCTCTGGGCGTTTTCTATCTTTTGCATCAATGCAGTTGTTCGTATCCTGCCGTGTCCTCCCACAACCCCTCGAACGGTGGCTTAAAAAAAGTCTAATCCCTTTGTGGTAGATAGAGTTTATCCTAAAAAAGGGCTTGAGCATCTTAAAAGCTTCAGGGTCTTAAACACGTCCATATCAAATAACTTCATGAACAGTTTGGGAGCAAAGGATTTTATTGTTTTGTTTTTATTTGTATTGTTTTCKTTTTATTTTTCTCTATGCACATGAAGAAGTCGCAGCATTTCAACAGTGAGATATTCAACCAACCAAAACAAGAAATATCCTTTTTTTATTTCTCTGGGAATACTCAGCACTGTTTGCACTGWGGCCCGGTGACAGTAATTTAAAAAYAGAGAGGGGAAAAAAAGAGTTTAAATTTCTGCCAGAATGGTTGCTCACTTTTGTCTCTGTTTCTTTTACAGTCCCAGAATTTTCTGGCTCTTATCTATTGACCCCTTGCTTTGCTTGTGTAATCATTTATCTGCAATACAGCTGCATGTTTAGCAATCACCATCAGCTTGCATAATGGAGTGCAGCTCTGTGGCTGATCACTCTGAATACTGATGTGTTTACAGTCTGTGCCATCCATTTGCTCTGTATTTGTTCGTGGGCACGATAATTCAGGGTCTTTTTTGCTCATTTGCTGTGTTTTATGAAGCGAAACCCCCCCCCCTCTTGCTTTAACGGACAAAACCTTTACTGTCACTGACTTTAATACTTGTCTTCCTTGAATCAATATTGGTAATTATGCAGGAGGGCTGACTGTGGGAATGAGAAAAGGGAAGTCTCTGTGTGTTCAATGTCAATGTCAGTCTCACAGTATGGCTGCCATCATGTGTTGGGTTCGTGTAACTACTTCGCAAAATAAACTGAAGCCTTTTCAGTTCATTRGTGCCTAATTCTTTAAAAGGACACAACACAAGCAGGATTTTTTWWATTTATTATTATTTGTTATATATTTAGACACAACAAGTCATCCTGATGTGAACATGTTCTGTAAGGACTGCTTGAAAACAAAATGACTGACCGTACAGAAATTATTAGCAATGTTTAGGAGAAAGCATTTGTCAGTAATCATTTATTGTTTTTCTGTTTATTATTTTTTTTTATGCCTCTTATGGCTCTGTCACCCTGCCAATAAAGAGTGGCGTGTTGGCCTCATTGTTCCACAGCAGCAAAATGAAAGGCCGCAGGGCGCTGAAGGAAGCGAAGGAGCGAGAGAAGGACATGGTGGTCACGGCCCCGGCCTCCACTCCCCGTTGGCTCAGCGAGAGGAAAGCTTTGTGTTTGGCTTCATCCAGCACCAGAGGCCTCTCGGAGGAGAAGCCGCACAGGTGGGCTCCCTCAAAAAGTGATGATAGACCTGATTGATGATTGTTGGGTTAAAATCACGGGTGGCAAAGAAAACGTTTCAGTAAGATGGAAAGAAGCACGGGGGATGAGCAAACCTAATTTTTTGAGCAGGGCGATCATGTCCGGCTCCACATCCAGCTTAATCTGGGGCAGAGTGACCTCTATAGGCTGGGGTGATGCGTTGAGCTGCTGTATCATCCGCTGCACGTTTCCATCTGTCATCCTCCTCTCCACCTCCTGCAGGTCAGTCAGCGTGTTGGTGGGGGGCAGGAGGATGTACAGACTATTGTCTCCTGTGAGAAGAAACTTAGCTACCTGTTGGCAAAGTTTAAAGAATGCGGTTTACTGTATGGTAGAAATGAAACATGAAAACTTCAGTTCTTATGTTCAAACTAGTGGTGTAAACAAAACATTTAATGGTCATAGTTTGTAGTGCTCAAATGACATTGTTTCTATAAAACAAGCCCATTTTAAAGTGTAAATATCACTCAACACCATGATAAAAAGGTGGGCAATAATACTTTTACATGTGCTTCTGTTAGTTCATCTGTTCAATAAATATCCCATGGACCAGTGGACAAATTTTATTGAAACTTTAGTAAGTTATCATTGGATGTGCACACAGAAGCCAGAACCATACTTTTACAGGGAAACAATCTGAGACCACCCCCCCCCCCAAAAAAAAAAAAACTAAAAAAAAAACTGAGTATCTCACAGTTTAATGGGAGTGACATGTGAAGATATAGAAAGGTCAGCCAAAGTCAAATATCAGGTACTGAAACAAGAATTGTGAGGGCAAAAAAATGTAACCTCAGCTACAGCGGGTAAAATAAGTATTGAACACGTCACCATTTTTCTCAGTAAATATATTACTAGAGGTGCTAATGACATGAAATGTTCACCAGATGTCGGTAACAACCCAAGTGATCCATACATACAAAGAAATCAAACCATAAATGTCCAGAAATGAAGTTATTTGTAATAATGTGGAATGGCACAGGGAAAAAGTATTGAACACACTTACTGAAATTTATCTAATACTTTGTACAAAAGCCTTTGTTGTCAATGACAGCTTCAAGACGCCTCCTGTATGGAGAAACTAGTGGCATGCATTGCTCAGGTGTGATTTTGGCCCATTCTTCCACACAAACAGTCTTCAAATCTTGAAGGTTTCGTGGACCTCTTCTATGAACTCTGATCTTTAGTTSTTTCCATAGATTTTCTGTTGGATTCAGGTCAGGTGATTGGCTGGGCCATTCCAGCAGCTTTAGTTTCTTTCTCTGAAACCAACTGAGAGTTTCCTTGGCTTTGTGTTTGGGCTCATTGTCTTGCTGAAAWGTCCAGCCACGTTTCATCTTCATCATCCTGGTAGATGGAAGCAGATTTTTATCAAGAATGTCTCTGTACATTTTTCCACTCATCCTTCCTTCAATTATTTGAAGTTTGCCAGTACCATATGCTGAAATACAGCCCCACACCATGATGTTCCCACCTCCAAACTTCACTGTTGGTATGGTGTTTTTGGGCTGATGTGCAGTGCCATTTGACCTCCAAACATGATGTGTATTCTGGCATCCAAACAGTTCAATGTTGGTCTCATCTGACCAGACTATATTCTCCCAGTATTACACAGGCTTGTTTAAATGTTGTGCAGCAAACTTTAAAGGAGCTTCAACATGCTGTTTCTTCAGCAGTGGAGTCTTGCGTGGTGAGCGTGCATACAGGCCATGGTGGTTCAGMGCATTACTTATTGTTTTCTTTGAAACAAWCGTACCTGCTAATTCCAGGTCTTTCTGAAGCTCTCCACAAGTGGTCCTTGGCTCTTGGACAACTCTTCTGATAATTCTTTTCACTCCTCTGTCAGAAATCTTGTGAGGAGCACCTGGTCGTGGTCGGTTTATGGTGAAATGATGTCCTTTCCACTTCTGAATTATGGCCCCAACAGTGCTCACTGGAACCTTCAGAAGTTTAGACATTCTTCTGTAACCGATGCCATCATTATGCTTTGCAACAATAAGGTTGTGAAGGTCCTGAGAGAGCTCTTTACTTTTACCCATCATCAGATGGTTCTTGTGTGATACCTGGCCATCATTTGGGACTGAACCAGCTGATATTAACTTGCTCTGACAAGGGGCAGGCTTGCTTTCTAATTACTGAGAGAGTTCAGCTGGTGTCTTGGCTTTCCATGCCTTTTTACACCTCCCTTTCTTCTTGTGTTCAATACTTTTTCCCTGTGCCATTCCACATTATTACAAATAACTTCCTTTCTGGACATTTATAGTTTGATTTCTTTGTATGTATGGATCACTTGGGTTGTTCCCAACATCTGGTGAAAATTTCATGTCATTAGCACCTCTAGTAATATATTTACTGAGAAAAATGTTGACGTGTTCAATACTTATTTTACCCGSTGTATTTATGTGGGCATTCTATCATCCAGCCACTAGATGGCGCTGAAGTATCAACATGAAAACTCATAATAATAAACAATAATCATTCATCTATCTATTTTTTAAATAGCTTTTCTTTTCCAGGTCGCAAGGAGCTGGTGCTTGTCTCCAGTCACTGTGCAAGAAGCGGAGGACAACCTGGACATGTTGCAAGTCCATCACAGGGACACAGAGACAAACAACTATTCACACTCTCACACACACACCTATAGGACAAGAGTTACCATTTAACCTAACCTGCATATTCTTTGGTCTGGGATGAAATGTGAGTGCCAGAGAAAACCCAGTGTTGTGGAAATATTTATATCGTAGCAGTTATCAAAGAGATACAAATAGAAATGTCAAGGTAGTGTGAACTTAATGGTCAGACAGAGAGTCTTATAATTACTTCTAGCACACCCATGTTTGAATGGGAAGAATATGCAAACTGAAAGGCTGGGAAGCAACCCTGCAACCTTGAGGTGATATGACTAACCACTGCTCAACTGTGTTAAAAATAAAAAGAAAGATAAAAATCAAAATACTCCCCATGTTACATTTCTGTTTCTTAGTGCTACTTTTCGCCTAAGTGTGTCTATTTTATTCATTTTTCAAAAAGTCTAGTTGCCCTTCAAAAATAAATTTCAAAGTGTACAAAAAGCACAGAAGTTTAAGTTAATACATTGTACCAAACGATTTAAAGGGTAAAAAAAACGCCTCAAAAATACCAGACAGACTCATCATAAAACTTATTCTTCAACATTCCCACATACAAAAAAATGTGGTTTCCAAAATAAGTAGTTCAGCTGTGGCTCTAAGAGTTAAAACCAAGGTTTTAAGCAAAGACATTGGTTATTCATGGTCAAGTCTTCAAGTTGTGTGCTTTCTATTTGAATGAGCTCTTTAGACCAGCACCAGGAGTCCAGCAGGATGTTTTTACATATAATTTTGTCAACCAATGACAAAGTGTGTCAGACACACCTTTAGAGATTTCTATAAAAAGCTAAATAAGACAGTGACAGAGTGTCTGTGAGTGTTTTACTTACCTGGGCTTTCAGTTCAGGAACATGGGACATACTTGCCATGTAATTTGAATGAAAGACAAGAGGCACTTTTACTAGATCACCATTCAATTTTGTAAAGTATCCTTTCGCTGGTTTTTCATTAAACTTAAACTTCCACTGACCTAAAGAATGCATGTAACACAAAGAGATGGTCAGTAATTGTGTTTTTAAATATCCACGCACATTGTTGTGTACAGACAGACACACTACTGACCACTGAAGGTCACGGCGTTGATCAGGACCAGCTGTGCATTGGGGCTTACACTGTCGATTAAGTTTGTGATTTTGTTTTTGGTTTTGTTTGCCACCCACTGGTTTATCATCTTTGTGTTATCTTCGCTGGATTCCAGCAGTTTTATGGGCTTTGCTTCATAGTAATCGATGGACTGGTTTGTAAAAGACTCACTCATGTTCATTTCTGAGGAAAGAGAGGAGAGAAATGACAACATTTTACAGATGGAGAAATTGTTATAGTTTATATAACTGTTTAGTTGATGATTAATCTTATTAAAGACAGGTAAAGTGTTTGCTCTTTGCTGTATGGTACGTGGATTGTAGAAGATCTGAGAAGCCATTTGCAAGGAGGCAGCCATCTTCTCTCGCTGCTTCTTGATCTGGAAGTGAACGCACCGGAGGTTATGAGGCAGGCAGATCGCTCGCTCCAGGGCACTGCGAGTGTTACCGTTTGCACCTGAAAGTTCAAAGTTAAAATACAATTAAAGRTAAAACATGACGGAAAGTTGCAAGGAAGCTTTCACACAGTCCTGCCATTCTCCACCAGCCTTGGTGGGGTCTCTCATGTTGACCAAGGGACCTCCAGATCAAACAGGTGATAGCTAACCATGCAGACACAAGGGTCGACAGGCTACAGAAGAAGGTATTGGTGGTAGATGTTTCAAACTATCTTCTGTAACTAATTTTATGTAATTTGAACTACAGCCCATTGATCTGAGCTTTGCAGCAATTACCTAATTAGAAACATCTCCCCATTGCAAAAACACTTGAAAGCCTGTTTGGAGTTAGCAAAMTTTTAAAAAAGCACCTGCAGCCTCTCAAACTAGAAGCAACAGGATTTTCTGATATGATAAAAACAAAAAAAAAAAAGAACAATTTGCCCAATTTTCCTGTTCAGATTAAACCAGGCACAGTGCAACACCATCCCCACAATGAAGCACGATGGTGGGAGCATCATGCTGTGGGATTTTGAGCAGAWGGGACTTAAAGACTGATCAGGGTTGAGGAGAAGCTGAAAGAGTTACCTTTTATTAAAAAAAACCTGCTGCACAGAGCTCGAAACGCACAGCAAAAAGAACAGAAATGTTTTAAAGTCAAGGTAAATACTTGAGCCCCATCAAATGTATTTGGGGAGACTTAAAATTGGCGCTCCACTAACGGTTCCTATCCAAGCAGACTGAGCTCAAGAGAATTTGCAAAGAGGATTGGCAGAAAATCCCTCAGTCCAAATGTGCAAAGCTTCTTGCATCAAACCACAAAGACTCAAAAGTGTCAAAGCTGGCAAAGTTGTTTCAACTCAAAGTGTGAAAACTTGTGGACATTTCATTTTTCTGTTTCATTTTATCTATTAAAAACTAATCGAAATGTATTTTCACTTTGTTGTGACTTACAGTCGGACAAACAGAAATGTCAAATCTAAAGGGAAGGATGAGCTGCTCTTCCTACCTAACAACAAAAGGGAAAGAATCCCATTGATGCTGATGGGAGAGAAGAGTAAGTTGTTTGAGGGATGTTGGTCTTTGAGGTGAGAGTACAGCTTCATAGAAAACTCTGTCATGGATTCCTTCAGTACGAGCTCAGCTGTGCGTCTTTCCTCCTCCTGGCAAATCTCGGGTGCCTTGTTAAACTCTTCGCATGAAGGGATGTCAGGATCTGAAATAAAGTTCAATAATTTTCATATTGTAATGCCTGCAACTCAACTTTACATCAATATATTAATTGTAACTTTATTCTGTTGTTTCATTGTTAAATTTGAGAGACTTTACTAGAAATACCTAGGACACTCTTGAAAAGAGAAATTTGATCTCATTGTTTTTTTCCTGGTTAAATAAAATGAAATAAAGAATACCTTTGACAAAAAGATGTATAGTGTGGAGATTCTCGCCCTCAGCAGATTCACAGCTGTAAATCCCAGAGTCCTCTGCGTTTGCCCGTTTGAGTATAATGGTCTGATCGTGATCATCAGGATAAACCAGGACCAGTTTCTCCTCATTTCCTGAATCGTCTTCGAGACGCAGCTGTATTCGTTTACCCCCAATGGTCTCTTTGAACCACAGCGCATTACCCAAAATGGGTCTGGATGATGGCAAGTAGCATGGCAGGCTGACATCAAAGCCTCCAGACGCTTTAATAATACTGTGAACCGGGTCTGCAAGAAGAAAAGATATCTCTTTTACCATATTCAAGGGTTTTGTTGTTTATCGTGAACATGTTTAAGAAAAGAAAATGTCATATTACCAACTGTCAAATTGAATATTCTTATCATCTCCGCGTCATTCATGCTTGCCAAACACATGTACTCGCCCCCGCTGGCAGGAGTTACAGGAGAGATCGAGACATAAAGCCCCTTCTTTATTAGTCGAGCTGAGCCAGTTGGTGGAGGACTAGCCTTTATAGTTTGTCCTGAAATTGTAAACACACAAATAAAAATAAAGTACAAGTATTTATTTCTTACACAAAAACAAATCTAAAAATAAAAGGTCTCGAAGGAAAGCACGTCATCTGCACAATCTGATGAACTTCTGTGTTTCTTCAAGCACTCAGAAACCAATGTTCATGTTACTGATGTTCTCCAACTGATTCATATCTTGATTTGAGATGGCCACCACATCTAAATGATCTGAACCAACACAAAAATGGCTAAAACTCAGTCAAGTTTCAGATGTTGAGCTAAAACATACTCAAGTTCTGACAGATTGTGTAAGATCTTGCAATACTGCACAAGACTGCGCATAACCTTATGTTGAACCAAGGTTATAATAGTTTTGGATTTTTCATTATAGTTTAGTTTTATTTCATTTTGACTTTTTTCTTTTAATTCAGTTAGTTTTAATTAGTTTTTACAGTGGATTTGCTAGTTTTTATTAATTATTATTGCATTTTTAATGCTTTGTTTTAGTTTAGTTTAGTTTTTATTAGTTCTAGTATTAGTTTTTTTATATAGTTTGAATAAACGTATTTGCCAATGCATCCTGAAGCTTGTGATGTTCCTGGGAGTTAACTAACCAACAGCTATTTGGTCACTATAAAGCAGACATTATTGCGAAACCTTACTAAAATAATTGTATAATTAAATTTTGCCAACTAAAAACTTGGGCGYTTTTTTAGGATGATGACGATAGTTGTCTCCAACCCGGTGCTACCTGCTACTTGTTTTTCAGAGATCCACATGGCTCAAAATAAATTGACAAACACCAAAACTAAGGATATTCTATCTATCATTTCAGTTAGTTTTAGTTAGTTTTGTAAAAGGATTATACTGTTTTAGTTAATCGTTTTTTCATTTTATTACAGTTTTTATTTATTTTAGTTAACTAAAATGTTTTTTTTTCAATTTCAGATTTTGTTATTTAGTTAGTTTTAGTTAACTATAATAACTCTGTGCTGAACTTTATATTTTTGTAATTTCTCTACAAGTTGAATTTAATTTAAAAATTCCACCATAAAAGAAGGTGGACATTCCTTGACGTAATGCTAGGCCTTGTTCTGTGAAATTTGCAAAAGCCATCAAAGTAAAACAAAAACATTACCATTGAACGTCCAGGTGATGTTTGCATCAGGGAATGAAACTGATGGAAAGAAACATGGCAAATCCACCGAAGAACCTTGTAGTATCCGGACATTTGTGCATGAAAAAAACTGAAACAGAGAGAGAGAAAAAAAACATTGGGGACAAAAAAGTGATTTGTAAACCAAAGGAGCTCAGATTTATGGCATGTCAAAAAAGATTCAACATTGATAAATGACCAAAAAAATCCAATTTTGTCAGGTTTTACCTCAAAAGTGAGCTGCAGAAAGAGGCAAACTAAGGCCTGCCGTTTCATCTGTAGAGGGAATTAGACGTGGGGGGATTATTACAAAATGAAGGTGGCACCAAGCCTGGAAAAAGATCAATATGTGTTGCAATCTGTGAAGAATAGAGATCCTTCACCATTAAAACCTTCTGAAAATGACCATTTTTACACACTATCTACCCTGCGATGGTCAAGATTCACCAAAGAAAGAGTTAAGATAAGATTCTGATGTTTACAACAGTATTTCTATGCTGTAGAATCAATAACATTTCTTTGATTTGTTAAACAATCAGTGAAAAAAAATTGAAAATAAACTTACAGTTTTTGCGTTTCCAAGAGTCCAGATACAGTAGTGGTATTGATTTTTATTTTTTCACTTTCTTCTCCGTCACCAGAACACCTCTGACTGTCTGCTGCTCTGAACCGTGACTGACAGTAACTTATTTGTCATAGTTGACTTTTTAGAGATSTTTGTTTACACAATGCAGGTCTTCTGACTTGCTGGAAATCACATGATTTCACTTGTTGGCATCAAATCCCAAAACCAGATTGATTCACATTCACTTATACTTTTTATAACCCAAATATACAATCACGTCTGTTATTCAAGTTTTAGTGCAGGGTAAATTGACTATTTATGCCCACCCAGTCCTAAAGTTGGTAATAGCTACTATTAGTTGGTGTTTCAGGAGAAGTTTCACTTTGACAGGTTTCAGTTGCATTGTGAAATGTTTGTTCTTCTTTTTTTCTGGGTGCGTGGGTGCGTGGGGGGCACTTAAATCATTTCTGAACTGATTTTGGTGAATGACACTTTATTTAATGTGAAGGCATGTATTTATTTGACATCATATTCTTCATCTAGATTATTATTTGTTGTTGTTGTTGTTGTTGTTTTACTGAAAACTGACTAAAATAAAAATACATCTGATGATTATATAAAAAGTTGTGCTTTTAAATCCAAAAATTTAAAATAAAAAAATGTTAAACTGATGTTTCTTTTTCCAGAAACATCACRGTGACAGTTAGAAATAAACTCATGCAAATGAATTTTTAAATTAATTAGATAAACAAACATTATGTGCGTGTAATAACAGCTTGTTTATTTGGATTGCTACGCAAAAACGTTTGTATCGTAGTTATGGAATTTTAGAAATGGCTGAATTAACTCATTAATAGTTATGTATAGTGAAATTYTGCGTTTTTAACCTACATGATTTTTTTAAAAGAAGCAAAGAGTTTTATATATCAGTATTTATTATGAGAAGGCAGACTGATGCATTACATAAGTAGTAGTTGTAGTCATTTGTCTCATACAAGAAATGTTTCATGGTATTTGCAAAGATCATTTCATGCATTTTTCCTTCAGTGACCTCCCTTSACTTCCTCTGCCGAGCTTTTCCTGCTTGCTTCAGCCTTTGATAATTATTCTAAATTTATCAAAGGCCTTCCTTAATTCCTAGGAACCTTCACAGACACATATCACAGAGTGCTGAGACACGGGATTTGGGAGTTTTTCTGAAAAAAAAAAAAGAGGGGGCTTTATTTATGACGCTGAATTGGTGAAAATTGTTTATTTGTGTCTTAAAAGTCTTGCAGTCTGGAGATAGCGGACCGATCGATAAATGGACGCTCGATTAAGCAACCTGACGCTCAAACTCAACCCTTTGGGCGGATTCAGGCACGAGCAGTCGAGTGTCGCGCGAGTAAACTTCAGAAGAAGTCTTTTTTTTCCCCCTTTCACATACAAGCAAACTTAACAAAAATGAGTTTTAATGTAAACRTTTTTTGCTAAGTCGCCTTAAAGAGCATCAATATGTGACAACTGTTTTTTTTTTTAAACAACTTCAGGTTTTACTTCCGCGGAGAAAAGGTTTTCCAAAGAAGACAGTAAGTTTTCCTGCTGGTCATCTGATTTAGCTAGCGGAAAGAGGACAACAATGGCACCGACAAAGTTAGCTGTAGGTTTATCTCACAAGGCTTCGGTTATATCCGCTCCATTTAAACCCACAAACCGAGTCTGTTTAACCCATATTTCCTTCTTTTCGCTGTTTAAGCTCAAGAGAAAGAGAAAATGGTTGAGTGTTTTTATAAGCCCGCGTGCGCACTTAAACTTGGAAGAGAATCTTATTAGTATTTTTAATTAATCTTTGTTTATATCCAATACAAYTAACACAACGTTTGTTGTTTGGTATGTTAAATTATTTCATTACCAAGCAAATGAGATGCAGAAAAACTTGCATACCATCCAATATAAAACACAACATACAAAAAAGGAAATAAACACTATTATTATTATTACTATTATTATTATTATTATTATTATGCAATATGTCCTTCATAAAACTTAAAAAATAAGTATATTTAGAACCTAAATGTACATTGTCAGGCAAATGTTGATATAATAAGGTGCATGTTTCACAGTAAGGTGCTGCAGCTTAGACCTGTTTTCTGTACACATTAGTGAGAACCAAGTTGGAGGAGCTCAAGGCGTAGGAGGGAGGCAAACACGGCAGGAACAATGGCGGCGCAGTTCACTATTGACGATGCCTTCGTCTTGGATGATGGAGACGAGGGGGTTGCGTCTGACGGAGAGACTGATGGGTGGAAGGGCAGAGATAAGGACCGAGATGGAGAGATGACGTTTGGTCCCCTGACGTTCTCCAAACCTCAGTCTCATCCTTCACCTGCTGCCACCGGCACCCCTGAGCACAGTAACCTGAAGTATCAGGTACAAACATTTATATTCGCCTCTTGTCTTTGTGTGATAAGTTGTGACGAGCTGATCGGTGYCACCTGCTGCTTTTTTCAGAACCTGGAAAATGAAGACGCCTTGGGCAACAATGGTAATTCCTCCTTCAATAACTTCTTCAAAATCAGGTGGGTTCTAAAAGTAACGTGTCCCTTTCTTTCATTCTTTTGTGTTTTTTTTATTTTATTGTATGAATGTGAAATAAGAGCTGTTGTTTCTTTGTTTCACAGCGACCCTGCGACTCTGTCTTACTGCAGCTCCCAGTGGTCCTTCAGCACTCTGAGTTCGGTCACGCAGCTCTCTGCACACTGCTGCGGGTACGCTCAAACATCCGTCACACACGTCACGCAGGCCTTCACACAGAGAAACAAAAAAAACAGGCAGTTGCATTGAAAAAAACGTGTTCCTCAGGTGGGTGTCCCATCCGCTGGTGAAGAAAAACAGAAGAGTTGTTCTCGCCTCATTCCTCCTCCTCATTATTGGAGTCGGTGAGTCGAATTACGTGAGATGTCTAAAATGTTCTGTGCCTCTTAAAAGTAAACAAAGATTACCCAGTTAAGCAAATTAAGTAAAAGCATTACGCTTTTGTTTTTAATAAAGTCAGAAAACTAACACTGCACATTTGTGGACACTTGAATTATGGAAACAACACATTTACTACTTGTAGAAAAAGCACAGGAAGTCAGTAAGAAACGTATTTTCTACTAGGCTTTAAATATTCTTTTATTGTTTTTAAACACAGTTTCGAGCCTCTCTGCAGTTTTTTACCACTTAGTTTGCTCAGTGTTGTGTCAGTGACATCTTCTGCTTTCTGAACTTTGTACTTCCACTGATCAATAAAACAAAAAACTGATTTTTTTTTCCTAGAACTTTTAGGTTGCTTTTTATAAATGGGTATTTTAATAGTTTGTTTATGATTTTGCTTTTTTTTCTCACTGGTGTGTCTTTACATTGTCTTTTGTTTCTTTTAGCTCTCATCTTCACAGGAATCATCATACAGCTGAAGCCAGTTGAAGGTAAGGAAGAGAAACCGCTGCTTGTTTATTTTTGTTTTCAGAAGTTGCACAATCTGTCTGTTAGTCCAAGCGTATTTGAGCCAAAAAGAACAAAAAAGCATGCTAAAATAAATTGAATCRATAAAAACAAGCTACTGACCAAATAACAGACACATTAATGTTTTACTACAACAGCTAGGTTACTAATAGAAGAGAAAAGAGAGGATAATACATCTGTAATTAAACTCATTTTGAAAGTAAAATCACGTCTTGGTTTTTTTTTTTTTTTTTTTTTTTTTTTTTTTTGCCCAGTTCAAAAAGGCATGTTTGATTTTTGTGTAATAAATTCAGCTTTTATTGCTCCCTGGTTCATCTTGTGTTTATGACTTTGTCACATGTTCTGCTGTCAGACGGTGGTAAAGTCACAACACTCTTTTAAAGACAAAGTTCACTTGTTGTTGCAGAGACTTGTTTCTCAATCCAGTCGTCAACACTGATCTGTCCTGATGCTCCACTTTTACAACTACTATACATATGCACATATACAGTGTGTGTGTGTGTGTGTGTGTGTGTGTGTGTGTGTGTGTGTGTGTGTGTGTGTGTGT